GTTCCCGTTGGTGATGTACCGCCATTAAAACTATGTACATAAGATACGTACACGAAATTCTTTGGTGTTGTTGGATCCAGGAATTTAGGGTGTATGGCAAGACCGGCGAAACCACCCTGTGGATTTTGTATCGCCAATTCATAGTTAACATTAAATGCTCTGTCAGAAGCCGATGAAAAGAAATCACTTTTCCAGCCGAGGTCAAGCACTGTTGTTCTTGCACCTGTTGCCGGGTCCATTCGGATTACTCGAGATCCTTTCGATTCAGTTATCCATAAGTAGCCGTCAGAGCCATAGGTTACTTCCCATGGATCATTCAGAATATTAGGCAGTGACAACGTGGTCTGAGAATACATTTCTTTAAAACGTCCGGAACCAACCGTAGTAGTTGTCGGGTTATGCACGAGTATACTGAATACCGCACCCGTACTCGGAGCGGCAACCGCGCTTGTTCCAAATGCTCCACCTGTATATACCCGAATATAATATGTCGCACCATTGGTGAGGCCAGTCGCATAACATGAGCCCCTTTCACCATAAGCTATTGAAGTAAGACCCGCGCAAGCACCGGAGAATACCTGGACGTTAGCACCAGATGCAAATGTAGTACTGGAAGCGCCAGAAACCGGGTTAGGGTTTACCGTAATCACAGCAGTGCTTGAGGTAGCAACAAAACGATACCAAACATCATCATCAGCAACGCCGGGTGCACCACTAAGGGCAACACCACTACTTGTTGCATTTGTCAACCGTTGATTTGTGGATGTTGTACCAACTGTCAAAACTGTTGCACCGGCACAATTATCGTTGCCGGGTGCAGCCGGACTTTGTAAACAAATGCTGAAAGCCCAGTTAGCAGCAGATGATGTAGGATTAGTATTGGTGAAAACGCGAAAATAATATTGCGTACCAACAGCAAGATTTGAAATCGTCAAACCGGTTTGCCTTGTACCTACTCCTAAAGAAGTAGTGGTAGAAATTCCGGCGCAGGTTGTTGACTCAAATGCTTCAATGAATGTATTGGTATTAGATATACCACCGCCAGTACCAGATAATGTAATATTAACAGATGTCGTGCCGGCAGCAGGTGTAAACCTGTACCATACATCATAGGTTGTCCCGTATGGGCTGGTAGGGCTGCCTGTAGCGGTTGCCTGGTAAAGTGATTGTGTACCGACAGCTCCACAGGTTGTTACAGTTGTAAGTAGTGTCGCGCTCGCGCACACATTATTAGCTGGTTGTGCAAAAACGTAACTCGAAAGCAAGAGGAAGGCACTGAGTAAAAGGTTCTTCATGAGATGGTGGTTTTTCATTTAGTATCTGGATTTTGGCCCAAGATATTTACTGTTGATAACTTATGCAACCTGACTATTACTCGAATTTGTTTAGTAAAAACACTTAGTACGATAAGTGTAAATGCTATTGCGACTTAAGTGTTATTATTGTTATTTTGTTTCGCCAACATCCATTAAGAACCGTTATGAAAGAATCCATACTTATGAAAACATCTCTACAAAAGTGTGTCCTGTCGATAGGATGCGTGTTTACCCTTAGCATTGTACTATCACTTTCCTCTATTGCGCAAAGCAATAGCTGTGCTGGCGCTACACCATTGGTAGCGGGAATTACCTGTTCAAATACATCAGGTACAACTACTGGTGCAACCTATACAGCTGCCACTGGTTTACCAGGAACCAGTTGTAATCAAAATACGGGTGACGTATGGTACACATTTGAGGCAGGTTGTACAAATCCCACGATAACTTTAGCACAAACAAGTGGAACCGCAAATATTCGTCGTTTTCAAATCTATTCCGGTACATGCGCGAGCATGACCGAAGTAGCCTGTAGTGGTAATAATAATGTACTCAATGCGACCGGCCTCACACCAGGACAGATTTACTATATACGG